TGTACAGAATAAGGCTTGGCGGTGTTAATGTGGAGACTGAGTAACTGTCCTAGTTACTAGAGCCTGCCTTAGTAGGTTTCTGCTGTTCTTTTGCTAATATTCAGGATTATCTGAAAACTTCTATGCGAGCTTGAGTTTGCGTCAGATTTAGAACTCAGCTCTGTAGCTTTGGATGACTCAGGGAGAAAGAATTATTTTCAAAACTCATTTTAAAACTACATTTCCAGTATCTTGATGGAAATGTTTGTTTTCTAGGGTGGAAATGCTGAGATCTTTGGTGGCTTTAACTGACCCTCGGGAGGGGAAGCTGACTCAGTCTCAAGAGAAAGTGAGTGACCAGCAGACTTCCCATGTTTGTTTACTGCAGCTTTTCAGAAGAACCTATAATTGTGTAGTTTAACCTCATAGTAAATGAGAACTCTTTCTCTAATTCACATTTTGGAGAGCTGAACTGAGGAGTATGTTTGCCAACTCTACTTTTGACTGCCCAGCAAACAGTGGTGTGATTATCAACCGCCTCGGTTCCATAGGGCTGCCTTCAAGCAGGCAGTAGGGTGTTTCAGGCTGTACTGAAACTCAGGTCACTATCTTTTGATTGACCAAATGGCCAGTTCTTGCTGACCCTTGGTTGCACCCTCCCCTTGTTTCCAGTGTGCTCACACAAGCATGGCATGTGCAATTAGTTTTCATAATCCCTCTCAATTCATTTTTCAAGCTCGCTCATCATGTGCTTGCAACAATCTAGTAATAACATAAAAGCTTAAAGCCAAGGAAGGAGTGGACCTTGTACTTTGTCAGTTTAAAGCTAACGCAAAACTGTAGCCCTGACACGTTACAGGCTGTTCTGCCACATTCCTTGATCAGCAGCAGCGCCCTTTTTAATAGGTAGAATGTGATTGTGGCTGGATATAAGTTGGCAATAAAGAACTGTAACAGACAAAAGAAAGTGTAAGAGATTAGGATGTGTTTTGATGGATTTGTATGGTATGGTAAATGCACGGTACTTTGGAGAATCACTGCTGTTCTTAGAAGATGTGTGGAACAGTTATGTTCAAAACACTTATGCTCATCTTTTAGCAATCAGTCTTGCTGATACCTTTAATGAAATTCAGTATGCATTACTATTTATAATTACTTTGTATTCTTATACTGAGTTTTGTGGAAGTCTTTAATATTAACGTGCATTCATTCCATGGTAATGTACTGTGATATTGTAGTAATAATTATCAGGCCTGTCCTTGAGTGATGGCCATATGTGTGATTCTCAGCATGTAATTGAATTTTCGTGCTTCTTTGTATTGTAGGCATTAAAGTTGCCAGACATTTGGAAAACCATACATACAGCCGTTCCTGGGCCTACATCAAGGACCTCGGTAGAGTGATAGCTCAAAGATGGGAGACCAGGATGATGGTAAACCCTTTCTGGGCACTGAGGCTGCCAGTGCTGCAGACTATGAAGGAGCTCAACCCTCTGACACAGTGTCACTCAGCGATTCTGATTCTGATGATTTGGGGTTAGCAGATGAAGCAGAAGTTGATACAATATCTCCTGAGGATCCATGTGTAGATGATGGGGATTTCAGATCAGGGGATGCTGCTGACCCATCAGACAACGCCGAGAGATCTCCTGTTCAGCCATTCCATCTGAGGGGCATGAGTTCTACATTCTCTCTCCGCAGCCAGAGTATTTTTGATTGCTTGGAGGAGGCAGCCAAATTGTCTGTGCCCTCAATGTCTGAAGATAATGTTGTTGATGGGAGATTTAAACGTCCCTTACCTCCAACCACCGTGTCCAGTAATGTGGTACCAGAAAGCCTTGGAAAGCCAACCAGACCAGTGCAGGCTCCCAGAATGTCTCCAGCAGTGCCTGATTATGTGGCACACCCAGAGCGCTGGACCAAATACAGCCTAGATGGGGTGTCAGAGTCTAGTGACAAGACTAACAGGGCAGTGGCCATGGAATTTCTAGAGGGCTTGAAGAAAAGAGGAGAGGAACAAAGCTCAGCTGCCCAAGATAGCTACACCCCATATTTCAACCAGGACCCTTCCAGCTGTGGAGCTGGGAGGATTGTATTCACCAAACCTGCAAAAAGGGGTGTTGATGGACTAGAAAAGAAAATATTGGCAGGAGAGGGTGATAAGAAACACATCAAAACAGATCTGAAAGGAAAATCTGTAAAGACTGATGACTTGAGGGAGGAAGATAAGATAGAGTTGGGACACTTAGGTGGTAGTAGTAGAAAAGGAACAGAGGAGGAGGGATGCCTGATAATGGAGAACCTGAATACAGAAGGTGAGCATGGTGTGGGTGAAGAGCCATTGGCAGAAAAAGTTGGATTCCATTGCAGCAAGAAGAGAAATAGGAAAAATTTCCGACCTAAAGTAGATGACGAAGGAGAGGAGGAAGAGTCTTGAGTGATGGAACAAATCAGAAACATGCAAGAATTTGTATACTCTTGGGATGTGCTTGGTTTTGTTTTTGTTTTTTTTTTTAATCAGGGACCCATGTGATACCATTTTGTTTTACTAACAGTTTGTTTTATAGCTATCCAGACCACTTTCATTTTTAGAAATTAAGCTACCAAAAATACATTACAGACTTTTTGTTAGTGAGAACTCTGCAGGCGAAGGATAGTTGCAGTCTCTCAGGAGAGAGTAAAGCATGCTGTGTTTGCTTGAGCAGCTCCCTGGGGAGCTCAAGTCATCATGAGCACCACAGAAAAAACTCTTAGCTAGAATGCTGCAAGGCATCCTCATTACCCCAGATTTAGAGCTTTTCTTAAGTCCTCTAGAATCCGGGAACAAAGGTGATGAGATTATCATGTAGAGTTGTTTAAACAATGAAAATAAAACCAAGTCTTCCACTAGATTTGATTTCTCCTGACCTGTTCTTTTTTCATTCTCTTTGAGATTGAGAGTACAGCATGAGTGGACCCAGATGGGAACTGGCAAACCAACTATTTTTTAATATGATCTCAAATATTTAATTTACTGTTACATGAAAAAAAGAGGTTAAGAAAATACCATTTTTCTTGCAGATGGGCACAACTTTGGAAAACATTCTAGTAAAGACACACTGAAAATCACTTCAACCAAGTCTCTTCATGTTGAGTGTAGATCAGTTACGCCACAACTTCTCTCGGTACTATGATGTGTTGATTTTTTTGCCTGCATATTTGTTTAGCCTTTCCAGATGGCTTGGTGGGAATCTGGGTGTTTGTAGAACTGGGTGCTTTTTACTTTGGAAATCAATAAACTTTCAGTTGTACTTTGATTTCTGCATCTCTCTGAACTGTACTGATATTAATGCAAATATAGGAGTTCAAATGACTACTCCATTTATTTGAGAACTGTTTAGAATGCCTGGAATCTGGAATGTTAGTCTCAGTTTAACATCTTGTAGCTTTCCTTCAGCTTGTTAAGGTTTAGAATCTAAAATTCACATTTTTAACATTTTGGTGATTTTACAGTACATAGAGAATCACCTGATAGACTGAATCAGGTCAACAACAAAAATAGCTGTATATGAAAGGAAGTGGTTGAGAAGAATACAGCAGGTTGCAGATAGTAATACACGCCTTATTTCCTAACGAACAATGTAGCTGAGTACAATCATACTGGTTTCACAACTTACCCTTTGCCTAGTGTGAAGAGCATTTAGCACAGGATCCAAGTTCTGTCATTGTTAATGGCACCACTATGGTCAAGGGTGCAGCTGAATAAGCTGGACAATCACTTACTTATGAAGAAATCATAAGATTAATTTTTGTTAATTAAATTCCTGTTGAAAGGCATTTTGATCACATCTGAGATTTCCCCCCCCCCCAGATTTGTATTGAGATATCTGGCAATAGAGAGTTTTCTTGAAAGTTATCTTTGTTGTGTACGAGCAATGTTATATGATGAAGAAATTAAGTTCAGTTGAAACTTATCAGAGTATGACCACAACCCACTGCTTACTTCCCTTTTTTGACACTGTTTATATTGGTGCAAAGAAAATTCCCGTTGAAGGACAGCGGTCATGCTCTTTTTATTTGTATATCTCCTCATACAGAATTATAATAAAGCCAGCTAACATTTGTATGCTAGAAAGGTACATCAGTTGAAGTAATGCAAAAAATGGCCATCAGTCCAAATTTATAGTTTCTAAGAAAATTCTTGCTACATATTTTTTCTTTTTTTTTTCTTTTTTTTCTTTTTCTGAGCTTAGAGAGAAAAACAGAATAAAGTCAGAGAATTGCTTAGCTGTAGATGCAAGGGTGATGTCTTCTTAGAATAGCAGTGTGCTGACAGCAGGTATATGATCTGGCATTGAACTGAAAAAGCAAGCAGCAGAAGCTGAGGGTCTGACTGAGAGGGTCACCTGCTTTGTGTTTGGAAACTGCACGCCTCTGAAGATTTCAGGACCATGCAATGAGTTTTTGGGGATGAATGAGGAGCCTGCATTAATGAACAGCCAGAGAAGAGAGCCAGAAGTGGGAGGAGAAAGCAGTGAGTGCAATCATTTTAGAGTTACAAGAACTTTAGGAACTGTGTGAATTGTATAAGAAGTCAGTATCCCAGGCCCCTTCTTTCCTGTGGAAACTTTCTTCAATTCTTTTCAAAGCAACTCATAAATGCAAGCTTGCTTTCTTGGCATAGGAAGTGGGTTGGTTTTTAGCGAGGAAATGATCTCTCTTTAAAGGGGAAACTCCTTTGGAAAGAACATGAAAATTAGTGATGATGAAGTGTGATTGAGAGTATGGAACTTTGGGAACAGACTATATAGAAAACAAGGTGGTTGTCATCCTGGACCTAGTGCAATTTGTGGAGGGGAGCAATGGAGAAAAGGCCGATGGAGGAGCAGTAGGGAAGAAAGCTCAAGACATCCCAACAGTGTCAAACATTAGTATTATTTCTCATAAAGTGTGAAGATACCATTGAAGACTTCAAGGTTTGGGTCTTGTGCTTTCCTGAGATCAGGATTTTATTTTGATGGTAATTCAGCAGGGCAAAGGGTTCAATCCAAAGAAATGAGAATGAAATTTAATTATCGATGTATGTGACGTCAGCCTCAGTTGGATCTGCACACTCTTCTCTCTCAACCCTTTCTGGCAAAGGCACTTCAGTACTGGCATTTCTCAAACCTGGTAGGATTGTAAAAGTTATGTGTTTCTTCAAAGCTTTAGGGCAAGGGTTACACAATAGTAATTAGGAAACTTTAAAATGTTGGAAATAACCCATACTAAAATTATACTGTAGGTTGTAGTACTTCATGTTTGTTCAGTAAATGATAAAAACAGGTTTCTTGGGTTTTTTTTTCTTCTTTTTTTCCTCAGCTATTTAAGTCTCTATGCAACACAGTATTAAAATAGTTTGGGTAACGTGCTACAGGACAGTTTTTCTTACTGGAATGCTTATAATGAAGCAGTGTACTATGTGCTTTGAAAACTTCTGCCAAAATTAAGTCAAATATGAGGTTAGTTCGACTCTTGAGAAGTTGGTTATAGCAAACTGTTGTAGGACAGAGCTGCAGCTAGGATCAAACCTGCTTGTTTATCGATAGACTTCAATTTTCACTCATAAGTCCTTTCAGTATTTTCAGAATATTATAGCTTGCTATGCATCCTAAGGTAGTATGAAAAAAATATTTTTCTAAGCTGGCTTTGCTTTGCCTAAGTTTAAAATTAGAATAATACGCCTGGTTAAATATGTTGATGTTTCCTCCCATGGCTGGGAAAATTGCAAATTATTTATTTCTGGTATATCTGTGGTTTGCTACAGGAACCTCAGACAGATCTCATTTCCCCTCCACTTTCACTGACATCAATACAAATGGACAAAGAAAAATTGACATATTCCATGGGATCCAACACACCTTTGCCTGCAGGAATGCTTTGAGGTCTTGTCATGTCAAGACTTACTTGGGTTTCCAGCTGCTTGTTTCCCATGTTGTACCCTCATGCTTGGTTTAAGTTTTTGGAGAGATGGGTTTTTGGTTGTTTGTTTTTTTTGTTCTTCTTGCTGTTGTTGTTTTGGTAATATATAGTAATTAGTAAATATTTGATTGTTTTCTTAATTATCTATTTCAAAATATTTATTGAATTGGATAACCTGTACTGGCTGAGATATAGTCTGTTTCTGCCTCTGATCTTTTAAAGATCAGAGACATAAGACATAAGTTACTAAATGACAGAAAGAATTGCAGCTCCAAAGGCAGATGAATTGAGTTGATTAAAACAAAGTGTGATTTTTTTTTAATGGTTATTATTGTCCAATAGTCAATTTCTTGCTAGTATTATCTCATTGACTCAAAAAAAAAAAAAAAAAAAAAAAAAGGAAAAAAAAAAAGAATCCCAAGAGACAGTCTTTTCAGGAAACCATGTATCCTTAAAATTACATGATGTCATTCTAACCTGCAGTGAACAATATTCCATTCCCATTCCCCCAAGCTTTTAGATACGTTTTGCAAAAGGTGCAGGAATATTCTGTTTGTATTTCCATTACCTGTATGCATACTTCTTTGCACCTCCCTATATATTTCTTTTCCAATCTTTTTTGGTTTTGTTGCATTTTTCTGAATGAAATCGCCTGGCTGTGTTAATTAGGTTTTCCATGATGGCTTTCAATACTTACGTGTGTAGTTTGGATCTGTCTGCTTGCAGAAGAGGTTGGTTTTGGTTAAAACATCTGCCATGGAGGAGATAACAGCTGTACAGTAGCAAATCTATAGAACAGGCAGTGATTTCTGCATCAGTTTTGTTTTTTGGTTTTTTTTGTGTTTTTTTTTTTTTTGTAGTATTGCATCCAATCTTAAATTTACAGGAAAGGCAATGTAGATAGCAACTGGAAGCAGCATCAGAAATATCATACTCAGCTTTGTTCAACTGACTTGGAGAAAGATCAGTGTTGAGTGTCTTCCTTATTTTGTGAATATACTGCATTATCTCATTCTGGCACAACCTTATTAAAGCATTTATTGTGTGTTCCTGTTGAACTTGTATTTGGTTTCAATTTTGTTTATTGAATAGTGTTATTTTTTCCAGGAAGCCATAAAAGTGATAAGAAATGGGAGAGAAACTGCAACGGGAACATTAAGGCAAGCCACTTTTGGCTAGGCCAAAATTGCATTGGAGAATTCTGGGAACACAGAAAACAATAACAGTTTTACTATGTAGCACACAGTAATGCTCAGCATTTTCAGACTGTTTAACAAACGTTTATTTATGTTCCAAGGGTTTGCCATCAAAAGCTTGAGATAGGGTTTCCTCCTATTATTCCTGTTGAGCGTTTATGTGCTAATGCTTCCCTTTGAGAAGCTTGTGTGTTGTATGTAAGAAAACTTGAAAACCAATGTCCAATATTAGTGTCTGCCAAATTAGACACAGTATGGGTATTTTCAATGTTGTCACTTTTAAAGTCAGAAAAGGTTGGGTGATGAAAAGGAAAGGAGTGTGGAGGATTTGCATCCAGAGGCAGCCTGAGGTGAAGAAGTGGACACTTCTGAAGTATGCTAACAAAGAGAGCAAGAAACTGTGTTCCCCTTTCTATGGGAGGTTAGAAAAGCTTCTTTATATAGTTGTAATTACAGATAAAATAAGGAAAGTCAAATCATTATACAGATTATTCCCTTTATCCCTACAGAATGTACACCAAACACTGTCAAAGAGCACCATCATTGATAAAAAATGGGCCAAGCCACACAAAAAAATGAAAGAAACAGTGAGATCCTAATGTTGATATAATGTTGATGTGACTTACCTGGGATTCGATAACTTTAAGCCTCTTTTCTTGCTCTTTCAATCCACTGAGGTATTTAGACAAATTATCCACCCTGTGGAAACAAAAATGATGCGTTGCTGAGTGAAAAAAAAATGCCTCCAATTAAATCCTAAACCACAGAAAATGAGTCACACTACATCTGTGACCACCTGCTTGCAGTTCTGTGCTGCTGGGACACTCAGAACCCCCTAGAAGTTTTGCCCTTTTGAAGGGTTCCTGTAAATATTTACTGAAGAGAGCAGCACAAACCTCCCATACTTGCTGCCCAAGGGCTCTTTGTGAACTTGTCTAGATGATAGTGATCATACAGCTTGTGGTTAAGGCTACTTAGCTATATCTTTTCAGTCCATTATGTCCCATCTATTTCAAAGGTAAATTGGTCCTATCATGAAAATTAAGACCACGATATATATTCTATTAATAAAGGGCTAATGAGCCATTTGATTTCTTCAAGGTTTCATCTTCAGAAACTGATTTGGTGTGTAAATCTCTAAAGGGACCGCATGGAGAACTTGAAAATGGTATCTCCAAGTGGAGCTGTCCACACATCTTCTACATGCTTTACCTCTTCTTTCATCCCTTCCTTATTCCTCTCATCTGATTCCCCATAAGCTCCCCAAATGCAGAGTTAAGTGAATGGCTTTCTGAAGGTTATGTAAGATTTCAAATAAACAGGCAGGTTTGCTAGCACCTAAGAGCAACGATAAGAAACCACAGTCTCAGTGGTAGTCATCTGAACTTGTCTGATTTCTTTCTGGCTCTGCTACGTCTGATATCATGTCCTTTATTTAGGAGCAGTTACACACATTCGTGTGTAACAAACAATTATTGTTTGATTTCAACAACATAATAATTCTAAATTATTAAGAATAAAGAGCCTGTTAAATTAGAGCGAGAAGAGTGCTTTCCAAGAACATGTATCTCTTTATATCATTGTTATTTAAAGAAGTGTACTTCTGAATAGTAATTTTGCACTTTTATTTGTCAGAATACTAAACGAATTTAAGTGATGCTCCTGTTGGGATGATATTAAAACTATTAAAATGGAGACCCAGTTACTTAAATGCAATTTGAGATCTGACACCAGGAATTTCCCGTGCAAAATTGTAGTCTTATGTCATAATGGCATAAGTAGTTCTTCTGTACCTATGGGCTGGGGATAATTCCAGAGATCACAAATTTTCATTCAAAAGTCTAAATGTCTTTCTGTTTTGGAAAGGGCAATTTCACTGGATTTTGATCAATGCTTTGTGTCCAGGTATGTTATGTTCCTATAGAGGATGGAAGTACATGCTCTGCAGTGTAACAACAGAACTACTCTTCCATCATTTCTTCATGAATTTGAGCTTATCTGCAAGTTTGGCTGGAGCTTACAGGTTTGTAATTGTACATACTTCAACAGTGTCAAAAAACATCTCATAGCGATGCTTGTTCATGAAAAACACTCCATGAAGAACATCAATCCCATTAGACTCTTCATATAAACCTTACAAGAGCCTGAACCTTTATCTCATGCAAATCTGAAGTCCTGCAAGTTTCACTTAATGTAGGTCAGAGTAACATACTTATTAGATGTGGCCTTCAGCCTTTCTTCATTGCTTTCTTTTCTTTCTTGTTCAAGTTTTATTAGATAATTTTCTTTTTGCACCAGCTCCCACGTTATGATTTTTTGATCTAGGCCAACTGGAAGATCTCTTTCTGTAGGGGGGGAAAAAAAGATACTAAAAATTATATGTTGCTCCATTTTTCCCTGCATTAAGTAATGAAAGGCTGCTATGCAAAGAAACATCAGGATTTGCTTTGCCATTGTAGAAGTGACAAGCTATGAAGGTTTAGTGTAAAATAAGTATTTTCTACAAGAAAAATTTGTTTTCTTGTGATGAAAGGCAGTAGACTTACTGCAGTTGAATAAGAGTCCTGAGTTTTCTAAAGAACAGCACAGGCCAATTTCAGTGATTCCTGAATGATTCATACAGGCTATCAATTGTTATCTCTTCAGAAATCAAGTGTGTTTAGGCAGTTTGATATCAACACCTTTGTCATAATAACGATGTTACATAGAGAAATGCACTATGGGAAATTGTTTGTAGTATAGACTACATCATCATTTTTCATGTCTGCTCTCCTACCATTTTTTGTTAAATATAATAAATTATGAGTCTTGGCTTGTGAGGATCTTACTTATGCAGCATATCCTTGCAGAGTATCGGGGTCTCCTGTTGATAAAATGTGTTAACAGCTGTAGCAGAAATGCTAAGTCACAGCTTGAAGCAGTGATTGAGCACCTGGTGGGAAGGCAGGGCCAACCCAGGGGAGCTCAGGTGTATGCAATGTACCTGAGTGATTGGAAGGGGTGGAGCCAGGATCTGCCCCTTCCCAGACCTCATTTGAAGGTTGGCAGTGGAGGTGGTAGCCTCTCTTGCTGGAGATCCTGACTACCTGAGGGCATCTAAAGGTAAGCAGGTTCTTCCTTTATTTTTGTTCTTACAGCTGTTGCATTTGAGCAAGTCTTCAATTGTTGTAGCTTAGGTCTTTGCTACTCCCCTGTTGCTGTGCTACTCCCCATTGCTGTGCTTTCCGTCACGTTATAGTTTTAAGCTAGCTTACCCAGATGCTGTTTCTTGTGTTCCATTTTGTTGAAGATTATTTGAAGAACCAAAGTTATGTGATTAATAATGATAAACGGTGGTGCTAAGGCAGGCCGTCCGTGATATTCAACAATCAGGTTGTAGCGTTGTAGTTTCCAGAAGATGTCTGCATTGCCCTGAACAACTTGAAAAGTGTAGCTGTCATGGTAAAAAAGAAAATAAAAAATTGCAGGACTAGTTTTATCTCAGCGAGCTGAAGCTTGTTATTACAAATACAGCCCGTGTTTACTTTAATAAAAGGAACAGCAAGTTCAGTAAGTAGCGTTTACTTAAGTTATAGCTTGTGCAGGTTTTTAAGTATTAAGAAATTGCACTTACAGCTTCAAATGATAAAGAAATAATCAAAAAATACTATCTTTTTAAAAAGAAAAAAAAGCAGTTCAACTTCAGCAAGATTGGCAAACATGTGATATTACTCTTTCAACCAAACGAATAATCGTTAACCATTTTGACTTGATGTGTTTCCCCAGCATGCAGAGTATCCAGCATTAGCCAAGTTTACAGATGCTCTGCACCTGCAGACTCTTGCTGCAGCATAGCTAGGGATCCAGGTGCATTTAATTGAATCTTTTGCTGTAAAAGGTCCTTTTTGTTCTTGCTTTTAATGTTGCTAGAGTGAGGATGATGAGAACTTAAGAACAATATGATCCTGAAAGTCTACCTATCAACCCCCAAATAACTAGTTAGGAGAACTACTAGTATGTTTCAGTATAGCTAACCAACAGCAATGTAGTAAATATGGGCATTTGGTTAAACTCTTACCTTCTCTGTCTTAATACTTAGTGAAACTGCTCTTACCTGAACATAGCAATCAGGAGATTCATAAGGAGAACGTTTGTGACTAGTAGGAAGATGACCAACAGAAGTATGACAAGCCAGTTGGCATAGTCGTTGGGGCATGATGGCGAGTTCTGTAGAATCTGCAGTGGATTAAATGTACAGTTCCTGGGATATACTCGTGAGGCTACAAAGGAGGAGAGAGATAGAAGGTAGTTTTGACAAATTCTTTTGCCATATGTATTTCTTAGCCTGGAGACAAAAGCTTTGCATTTTGGTGAGCAAAATCTCTTGCATTCAACAAGAATGGCAGCAATTACAAATTTTCTGAAGTTTGGGGTGCTGCATTTTAGAGATTTTTCAAGGAAAAAAGGAAACTGAGTACCCTTAAGCATGCCTTCTTTTAAGAACTCACAACAAGAATGATTACATGCATTTAATACCTTTTTCTGTTGAAGTACAAATCAAGGATGATATTGAGATCTCATCTGCATGTGAACAGTAGCATAATTTTCTTCTGAATATGTGCAATTATTAGAGCTGAAGACAAACACTGTGGTAGTATGTATCTTTTGTACTGCCTCAGTTTTTTTACTAGCAAGCGGAGCTGTAAACGCAAGGCACACAGGACAGCTTTCTGGCTATTTGAACTACTGGGATAATTCTTGCAGTCAAACAATCCTTTATGTGAACTAATATCCGATGTTGCAAGTTTTGTAAAAAGGCAAATGATGCACATCATTGCATCAGTTCAAATAGCTTTGAATTTCTAGCAGGTGTGTACCCCCGTGTCCTTGCATCTCCTCAATCCTCATGCTAGTATGCATGCTAGAGGAGAGAACTTGGTAGAAGCAGGAAATGGGTTTCCTCACTCAAATTTAGACTACTGCTTTGTACATCAGAGCTTGCAGTCAAGATTAGGAAGAACAGTGCTATTGCATCAGGCTATAGGTATAGCTACCCTTTCACCCTGCCTCCAGTTATGGCAGCAGCAAGTTCTTATCCAGACAGTGTTACTCCATGTTTTTCCTCTGTTAGTCTATCTCCTCCATTGGAGCATGTGGCTGAGCAACATGCCCAGGCAGATTATTTGTATTTAATAATGATATTGAATGATTCCTAGATGAATTTGTCCAATTGATTCTTGAGTCTGTGTACATTTTTGTTCTCCATTTCCCCCCCCCCCTCCCTACTAATAATGCCTTTCCCCATAACAATAGACAAACTCACAATCCTACCCCTTAGTACAGTTATCTCACAGGCTGCTGTAGCTGTCACCAAGAACATTAACTGAAGTTATCCATGCTGAATTTCTTCTGGTGTTTCTTCACTCACGAGGTCCTTTTGCAACTTTTAGGTGTTACCTTCAGTTTTTACTACCCAGTAATTTTTTTTCATCAGCAAATGTTACCTTTTTTTCTTTGGAGTTCCAGTGTAGAGATGCAGACTCTATGCTGCATTTTACTGTGTTTTACCTGTTCCCATGCTTATATCCAAATATTTACCTGTCTTGTGATTGTTTTTATGCTGTTTTGTTTGAAATATTGCACAAATGCAATTACTAGCTTTATTTGATTTGGGCAGATTTAATTACAGAGTAAACAAATGCTCTACCAGAATATTTGTTGGAAAACACAAGTGTTTCCTTATGGGCGGAGCTGTACTGCTGTAAAACTGTCATGTTAAACTACTGCCAGAAGTATGGAGATGTTATTTTGCTTTACGTGAAGGCTATGTGGGTCTAGATTAGGCTGAATGGAAATGGATTGAGGCAGAAGGTGGTATGCCAACCTCTAAAACTGCAAGTCCTTGTGTGAATACTATAGACAGCTTCTCTAAATAGGGCAAACCGTCGTGTTTAATGTAATCCCACACTGTACGTTATCTCATTTTGCACATTCACTACTTATATCATAGCCATGTGAAAGCTTTGGTTTTCAGGACTTTTTTTAAAAATTATTATTTATTGAAAGAACAACAACAAAAAAAAACCAAATACTGGGAAGAAGGCATTCAAAGATGGCAAGGTTAAGGGAGAAAGAAATTCCTTACTGTCTATTTCATCCAGTGGGATCTGGCCAAATATCTGGAGGTAGGGACGATAAAGCACCCTTCTGAATATCCACTCCACTCGGCTGTCATCAGGGTGAAGCAGAGCTTGAGTTGTCACACCATAGGCAATGAGCCACACACTCAAGAAAAATAGGAAGAAGAAAACATCTTTCATCTAGAAGAGGGAGGGGGAGAAAGAAAAGGAGGGCGGGTGATTGTTGCAGCATATTCAAAGAAAGAACAGTAGTTGTTCAGTATGATAACTGTTCAAATAATTATTTTTCTTTGAGAGCTTGTTTAGGCTAAAGGAAGTTGACTTTGATACAGTTTCTCACACAATTCCCCTCCTGACCTTGCTGTTATAATGTGGTTCTTGGCCGATAAGCAGTATTTTTCTTTGTTAGTTCATTTAGATAAAGGCATGTTATAATTTAAAACTTTGCTTTTCAGTCATGTAACATTTATTATTTTTTTAAACATTTTCTCCTTTAAATGATTGCCTTTTAAATGCAGGTTTTCTATGAGATCTCACAGTACTGTTGAAATACAAAAGTCTGCTGCAGCAAATCCTAGCTGACAGTGCTCATTGATGAACTCTGCACCATTGATACAGCAAACACTGAAGATTAGAAGGATCAGGTAGCTAAGTAATGCATTTGAGGGATTCTTTCCAGGGCTTCCTGCTTTTAAACATTGTGCTTCTCTACAAAAGCAGAGTAATTGAATCCTAAAACACTTACTTAAAAAAAAAAAAAATTGAATATGTATTTCAAGTGCAATAATTTTTCCCTAGTGGAAGAAGAACACTTCATCCTCTTTCCATCTAATCTGACAGTTCATTACAGGCTGTAGATTCATTTCAATTAGATTACAGGATTGCACACTTTCCCAAATGCATAGGCATTTCAGACCTTCAGAAGGTAACTATAAGTCCCATTAAGAAACACAATACCTGTGGCAAGCAAGATGTAGTTGATGTCTCTCTAACTTTTATCAAACTGTTTTTTTTTTCTGGATGATTCCAGATTTGTCAGTGCTACAGGCCTTTAACAACATCGTAACGAAGTGAAAGCAGTGGTTTGTCTGGGAAAACTATTTTCCAGTCTGTGGTCTCTCTAAGCTGGCACTGTTCTGGCATCAAACTACCACTGTAACAGTTGCTAGACTTGTTTCAGCAATTCAGTTGGGAAGTAAAAAGGAGAAAGACAAAACACAATCTTGGTTTTTTTTCCCTATTTAAGAGAAATGATCTTGCTTGAGCCAACCTGATGAATGTTTCAGGGAGATACTGTTTACTGAACTGAATTTCATTGTTTTTTTGTTTGATACATGGCTCAGTATTGAATTACCAAAGGTAAGGCATTGCGGTGGCTTGGATATTGGGAAGATGAAAGCTCCCACGTTATGGTTCTGTCTAGGCTGCCACTTATTTTCTTCTGTGTATATTCTTAATCTGTGTTACTTCATTTGAATTCAGATGCTAACATAGTAGATGCATCACCATGTTTGTTCAGGGCCATGGTTTAGCTTGGTGTGCAGCCAGGAAGGACTAGGAGCTGTAGATCTGCCTTGTTCTGTTACTTTAAACTCTGTTAATGTGGTGAACTAGAAAATGTACGAGAACAAATATTTATTTGCCATTTACCCTTTTGCTACTCAAAGCAAATGTCACGTTGGAGTTCCCGTTATTGCATTTGTAGACAGATCCAAATAGCTTGGCAGTTGTGTTTATTCAATGTATGGGCTTGTTTAGACTGTAGGGCTTTTACTGAGCTCTGCTCTGAGTCACAAGTCAAATGTTTGTAGAATCTGTAGTAGCATTTACAATTAGATAAACTATTAATCAGTTATCATGAGCTAATTGGCCTGGAGGATTGACATGCTGAAATAAAAAGCTGTTTCAGTGTACCACCCCATACCTATGCACAGTAACTATAGTCCTACTGTCTCATTTCCTGCAGGAGAGCTGAAATAAATAGAAATATTTCATCAGCATCTTCCAGCACATGCTCACAAGGTGCTATGTTTTCATTGTAGATTAGAAAGTCCAAGTAAGAGCAGTGCTCATGGGAAACTTGCAACTATCCATTTTTACAGATTTTTCTTCACACTTCTTGCAAATAACGTAATCCATTTCCCCAAGCAAAGAACTACCAGTCAGTAGCTGCCCTTCTTCAGTGGCCTGTCTGAAATCCTTGCGCTGAAAGTACACAGCTTATGAAACAGGAGGAAGAGTCTGTGTCTCTCAGATCACGAGTGTAGGGTCTCAGTACTCCTGACTTGAGAGACCAAAGGGTAAATGATTAGATAAGAATGAAGAGTTGTGTACTGGGACCAATTTAATACACTGCAGAGCTCTTCAGAAGGATCTGTTTTAAATGTACTGCCTCTAATTTTCATGGTGAGCAAGGCAGTTGTATGCAAAATGACAGATCTTAAAGACACGTTATAAACTACTTCCTTTGTAAGGAGAAGATTTTTTTGGCCACAGTCTTTTTAGCAAGTATGAGTATTTGAGAGAGACTGCACTTACCATCCTCTCCACAATTATGATCTTTGGTCCAAGTTGTCTGTGAATTGCAAAAATGTGTATAAGTCTAAGTGTAAACACCATAAAATCAATGGCGAGGATTGTGCGGCCAGCTTGAAAAGTTGAGTTGAGCATCCTGAAGAATAAATGAAAGAATATCAGATCTCAACAAGTACTACTGAGAAATTTGTTCTCAAATATTGCACTCAATTTCCAGGCACTGTCGAGTTAGGAAAAGGCAAGTGCTTCAGGCTTGTGGTTGCTTATGTCCAGGTCATTACAGCTGTCAGAAGAATGTAACAATATCTGTACTTTGGTGAGAAATGACCACAACATAGAGGGACACTGATTTGCTTGGCTTGGCTTCAAGGCAGTACTAAGGGATAAACAAGGAAAAGGATTAGTTTGACTAAAAGGACTTGCAAAATAAAAGGAAAAGCAGAGCTGCTTTGCACAAGTGTTTGGATATTCCAATAAGCTGTTTGTGGTCTGTGGAACAACATCTGCAGTTCAATAGAAATGTAGAGGCTCTTGTTGCAGAAATGTAGCTCAAAACTCATAAAAGTAAATGTCACAGCCTGCCTTCTTGTGCACATGTATGCCGGGTGACAGGACTGTCAAAGCATGTGCTCACAGCCCAAATGCTGACCATGCAAAACAGGTGTATATATACCTGCAGGTTACCCCAATTATGAAGAGGAAGATGGTCACCATGTCACATTTATTCCAGTTATCCTCTACGTATAATTTAAACTTTTTCATTAAATTTGTGTCTTCATCCATAAAGAAACTCTGAAAAAGAGAAATGGTGGTTGGCAGTGATCTGTTTGAAGTTTCACTATTTCAGTGGAAATTTTGACTTAATACCTGTTTCACATTTCTCTTTCACTGCAAAAAAAAATCAAAAAGTTCCTAGTGTAGCATGTAAACAAGCTCAGTTTACTGTCTTAAATCACACACACATACATATGCACACACACACTTTTTAATCTTGTGATGTAGGCCTAAGAATTTTTTAGGCCTGATCTAAGTCTTTGCCAGCATTCAGGCTGTTAAAAAAAAAAAATCTAGAAAATAAATGTTGACAGGATATTGCTATCTAAACAGCATGTACAGATTGGTGTTTGTACATTATAATTGCCTGTGAGTGCACATTTGATTATCTACAGAAGGAGCTGTCTCAGCTGGCTTATAGCCTGGCATTCTCCATGTTTTACAAGTTTATAATGAAATATTCTTTGTTTCAAATATTCTTGTTGTACTCTTCTGTTTATGGCCCTTCTGGATAATTTCATATAATTTACAATCGAGATCCCCTTTGCTGTTCGTGTTGCTTAAATTACAGACGCCTATTCTTCTGGAATATGTGTTCATAACTGGTTTTCAGTGCAAAGAGGATAACGAGGATAGTTTCATGCACCCACAATTGTCAATGCACCAGCACCGTGGCTCATGTGCTGTTTTGGTTGTTGGACTGAGGGATGCTCTGTTGCACTTCCAGGACCAGACCATGGTTTCCAGTGTATGTTAATTGTAGACCTATTTCTGGGGGGGTGAAACCAGACAGATGCTTTGCAAAATTAAGGACACCTGAGTCTTAGCAGCCCACTTGTTTATTGGCTGCAGCTGAAGTGCTCTGGAAAAACAGGAGTAGCTACAGGTTTACATGGAGGAGGAAGAGGTTGGTTTGGGGGAGAGATTGTTTTGGATGAGGTAATGTTTGTATTGCTTCTCTATGCAAAGCTGCACGTGCAAGCTTGAAGATTTCAACTGTCAAAGTTATACAGATCGTAAATTTATTCAAAGCACTATTTCAAGGTTTGTTGTATTACTGCTGAGATGTTGTATGCAACTGACCTGTCGGATTTCTTCCAAGACCAGGGTAAAAACCCAGAAGTACAGTATAATTTCTTTAGCAGATGGACCTTCAGGTGGAGGTGGCTTAAAATCCAGTAAAAGGACATAAGTGAATAGAAACAGAAAAGCAAAATACATAATAACGTTTCCCATGAATACAGTTACAGGGGCACTCCAGAATTTTTTCCACCGAGTAAAGATGAATGTTGCCCACGCTGTGTTTTCAGAAGGGTTCTGTTTTTCTAATTTACCACTTCTTCTGCAAAACAGAAAGAACATAGGCTTGGTTGACAACCTCCTAAAATTAGTTCATGGGAAAAGCCTCAGTATTATTCTCTGCAGAGCTTTTTTTTAAGATTGTAACGGATGCTGACAGGGGTGAGGCTGTGGGATTCCCAGCAATCATGCTGTTGTAGCAGAAATGCTTCAAGTCAAAAAGATTCTGAAAAACAAAGTCGCATCAGGTTTAAATGTGTAACCTTGTTGTTTTAGTTTTGCTGCATTAATGTGATTTGCAGCTTCAGTCTGCTCCTACACATAGTACAAACTGGGTGAATAAACAAGAAAAGGGGGTATTTGGCCAGCTGTAAGAAAGGCAAATATCTACTGTAAGTCAGTTCTTATTTTGGTCCTAAAATTTATTGCAGTCATCACATGCAGAAGTTCTTGCAGTTGCTGTGACTGCTTGAGACAATCACTCGTTTTGACCTAGACTCAAAGTGCTGAATCACACACTAAGCATGTGTTCCTTGACTAGCCTTGCTGTAGTCTGAGAGAGCTACTGAGGGAATACTGCAGTTTATGTAACTATGGATGCTGGCATCTTGCCCTTCATGACTAAATCAGATTGGAAAAAGATCACCAGAGGGGCCTTTTAATAAATAATTGATTACAGTAGTCTTTGAGTATTGTGCAATTGCACGAGAGTTTTGGTAACTGAAGGAAAACCTGACCTGTAGATCTACATGTCTGACATTCCTGGTAATTATTATATACATTTGTTACAAGGAGAAGTTTCTTCTTGCAGCCAGTCTCCTCTGTGTGACTGACTCTGTACTGCCTCTCAGTTTATGACACTGTAAGACACATTCCCATGGCAACGGGCTAATATCATAAATGGGTAATTGCAGCTTCACTGTTAGATGCTCAAATAGATCTGGGATGGGGAGAGAGCTCTTCTGTTAAATCTGTAAGATAATAGCAATTGGAACGCAAAATATTATGACCAAGAGCCATCAACCATGCTTTGCTCAGTTGTGAAAGGACTTTATGATATTATTTACTAATAGTCCCCAAAAGGCAAACACTTTTGCATCTATTTTACAGGTTAGAGAGGGAATGAGGACTTGATTTTTTTCTAATATGCCAGCAGTTAAATGCCAGAGCTAAAAATACAAGCTAATAACTGACTCAGTCCAGCACTAGGTACTGTGGATTGTTTCCTTGGTACCATTATTCACGTATTTCTGAAGCTCTCTTTAAATCACTGAAAAGTAAATGTTTAATACAAGTGGCTCTTATTAGTACAAAGTTCACTTTGCAGCTAATCAAAAGTTTTCCTGCCCTCACCCGAGTCCCCAGGTTTCGGTGATGAGCGTTTGTTACAAGTAAAGGTTGCAATTCAGAAGTTCTGTACTGTGGGTCTATGAATGATTGTGAGCAACTGCCAAAATCTTTTTGCTTTGATCTCTATTTCTCTTATGCTGCCTCTGAAATATGCCTGTTATTATGCTCCAGGTCTCTCAGAGCCTATTTTTTAAAATAGTAATGAAGAGTTTTCCTAGCATGGTGGGAAGCTAACTACATAAATTCATAGGTACTGATGTTTGCAAGTATTTCTGTTGCTGCCATTGTAGCACAGTGTGTGGTGATGCACAAGGGTTAGCTGCAAACCTTTTCCCTGCTTGGGTAAGCCTATCAGGGATTACTGCTCCTAAATCCATTGTGTGTCAGCCAGTGCCAGCTGAAGGGAATCTCAGGAATGCCTTCTGATTGCTTGGATATTGATCAGAATCCTTGTTCAGTAGAAATGACCAGCTCAAAAGTTGTCTCCTGAAATACAGTGCTGTATGCTGTGTCCCTGTTTGTCTTCTATATTCATTTTATGGAGTACAACTGCAGCAAACAGGGAGCTTTCTGATGAGTTCTACCTTCCTTGGTCTTTCAGTTGTTCCTTACATCATTAGTTGGTCCTACATGCGTGAGAATTGACCTGTTCTTTGTAGTCAAAAAACATAATTTTAACGGATGTTTTAAACTTACCTGTATTCTTCCTTAGAAAGAAACAAAGTCCTTTCTGTATCCAAACTGTCCAGCTCTTTAAAGGGCTCTGTCTCATTCTTTGGTTGTTTTTCCTCACTGTAAGGAAATAAACTCATTAGTTGAAAGATACTGGTTAGCAACTCAGCTACTGAACTGGCTTTCCTACAGAGCTGTGAGCATGCACTCATCTTGGACTCTCTCCACTGAGAAGCTATCAAATACACATAATCATTAGCTCTGTGTGTTCTGATTATTTGAAAGCTGAAGTCAGCCACAAGAGTCAATGGATAAATGATAATCAACATGTGTTTCACGAGAGTGGAGCAAGATGCTCAGTCTTCTTAAAATTGAAAGGAAAGCATTTGAGTGGAAATAGACCACTCAGTCAGTCCTGGAAGACATTCCACAATACCCCCATGTTCCAGTCCTGGCCATACTTAGTAGTGCTTAATACAGGAAATGCCAGAAGCATTAGGGAACATGATGTCAATTTTTGCATTTCTAGTGAAAGGAGGCAAAAACGTCCTCAAGAAGAGATTTAGAAAGGCTTACTTTGATTAGGAATCCTTATTTGAACCCTTCCACGAAAACAGATAACATTTCACATTAATTTACTTAAATCTGTGAATCTGGCAGCCAGTCTGCCAAGAAGAAACCATCTTTAGTGACTGATACTGATAAAATAGAAGTCTTAGGTCAACGATGGCAAAGAAGTTTTCCTTTTTCTTTGTGAGTAGCTATAGTGGAGCAGTCCTTTTGTTGACCTTCTGAGACAATATTATTTTTATTCCTTATGTGAGAAATTTTCAGTTTGGGTATTTTTCATGACTGACTTTACGTCCTTCACTTATTTCTTGCACTCAAATATTTGTTTGTACCTGAATGCTATTAAATTTGTGTAGATTAGGAAGGGACACCAGAATCCACATATTAACTTCAGGATCTGTGTGTTTGTAGACATGTCTCCCCACCATATTTTTGTTAGGAAGGCCTGCAATTGAAGGAAATAAGTAGCTTTAGCATCACAAAAACGTATATGCAGATCAAGTGCTCCTATGTTCTGTGTTCTCCTAAGGCAGCAAAGATTAGGCATTATTATATACCTAAGAAGTATACAGGCACTTTGCATGTCATTCTGCAGTTGTTTCTTAGTATGCAAATAGTTATGAGAGGACAGTGGAAAGGAACTGTAATTCAAGTAGAGTTAAGGAACATTTCTACTGAGGAAGTACAAGTCAGCTACTGGGAGCTAAAAGCATCATCACTCTTAATTTAGTTTTGTGTATGCAGACAGAAGTCAGGTTGTGGGAGCAAAACAGGACAGCAATTCGATTTAACTTTTATCAGTGAGCTTCTCTGAATCTGAACAAGCTCTGCTAGGGAGATACCTCATGTCCTTAAGATTCATTATGCTTCAGGCAGATTTTAAGTGCTTTCCTGATGGTTCTCTGTGATCATTAGAGGAAAAAGCACAGGATGGGATGAGGATTAAACCTTCTTTCATCTACCTGTCTCAGGGCTAACAGAATGAAAAAGGGAACTGTGTTGCTTTTTCAAGTACATAGCATGACATCCTCTTGACCTGGTGCTTAGGGAGAGGGCAGATCTGAGATGTATCTGAGAATAATGCATTCCCTGGGGTCATTCAGTTGCTGTAGTATCCTTTTCTGTGTCCAGCATCATGCTTAAAGGCCCTAAGGAGTGGAGATGGTAGGGAAAGTGCCAGTAGATGTTACCTGGACACCATCATGTGCAAAGAATGACTTTGCATCTGCTTCTGTAGCCAGGTGCAGGCAGGTGGTTTTGCTCCAGTACTGACTTTTCCTCACCAACAGAGAAAATGCTCTCTCCTCACTGTTGCTGTAGCATTCACTGAACAGCTCTGTCAAATGAAAGAAATACAGACAAATGCATCTTGCCATTTAAAAACAAAAGAAACAAATGTGAGACAAGAGGGTGATGTGTGTAAGGTACGACTTGGTCACACTGCCAAGCACATCTTCTGCACTGAAGAGTTCTGTGAGGCTGTGATAGTCACAAATAGCTAAGATGAGGTCGGTGGGAGTGAGGACTAATTCTGGTCATGAGAATAATGCTACAGAAGGCATACGCAATAGATTTGCATTGGTGGGTGAAAAAAGAAATCGCTGGAATTATTGTAATCTTGAAATTCCCACTACTTTCAGGGAGGTATGATGTAAATCTCAGCACCTCCCTCTCACCTCTTTTCATCTGCTTGCTTCCTTCTCAGCTCTGAGGTGCTCTGCTTTTGTTACTGTTTGATTTCCTGTGGAGAAGTTCTTTGTCAGTTCTACAGCCAGTTTTCAAGACGTGCCTTGGAAACCTATCGGAATGCATTAGATAGTTCCTCATCTGTAGCTGCCTTGTGCAGAGATTTAGACAGTACTGAGCAAAAGCAAGTACCATGGGAGATCTGTTAGCACTTTGAAGGATGAGTTGCCACACTGCTCCTGTTCCCCTGAGTACACTAAACAAAAGGAGCAGCTCAGATTTGACTTGTAGCCAACAGATGCTTTAGGACATAGATATTTGACATAAAATAGCATTAGGCTTGGTAGTATGTTGTGGTATAGATCTGTTTCAAGAGAAGCTGGTTCTAGAGTCCAGCAACTCTGATAAATGGTACAGAAAGTGAAGGTTTTCTCATTAGACAAAATATAGATTTTGAGTCTGCTTCATTCTGATTCATTATGCATCTCAGTACCCTTCCTAGGCTAGCCTACACTTTGATACTATGCTGTGAAGGCTGGAGAAGGGTCAAGTTCATGTAAAAAACAAAACAAAACAAAAAAAAACTGATACAGTCTTCTGCAGTTGATGTGGTATTTACCATTTTAAAAGAATATTCATTCTACTTAGCATTGCCAGTATTATCTGGGCCAGATATGGAAATTGCAGATCTGATCTAATGCTTACCAAAGCCAAGGAAACAGACTGCTGTGTATTGGATTAGGCCCTCTAATTTCATGACTAAATTGTTGGAGTCCTGTGACTATATGAAAGCCTTATCTTTTATAAATAATGTCCTTATGTGAAAGGAGGGTACAATGTCTGTTTAAATAATGCAGCAGTGTCTGCGTGAGCCTTCAGCAGCTTGATGTACTAGCTGTAAGAGGGAAAAGCTGCTGCATTTCTACATGAGGTGTATTCTAAAGCTCTTGGTACATTGCAGCATTACCTTCAGGTAGAAATTGGACTGTTGTCAGATCAGCGAACATCTGTTTCTGACCAGAGGGGGAAAGAAGGCTTTGTGTTCCAGTGCTGCAGATGCCTGAATGTTGTAGGGAGGGGCAGCTTGTCTGCTAAGCCAGTCTGAACCTCACTTAGAGTTTTGCAGCACAGTTAGCCCTCTTTTAGGTGAGGTAATCTCAAATTATTTTTAGCATCAAAGGCAACCCTTAAAATTTGTTTTCTAGTGGCCCTTACAGAGCAAGCTTGATATTGCAGGAAAACCAGGCTGCTGTGAGCTTGGAATTGTTCCAGTTCTTCCATCTTGTGCATCGTAATACACCTTGTGCTAAAATACCAACATGTAGCAAGGGAGAACTTCTTTCATGCATCCCATGGGTCAGTCAGTCTTAAAGCATTTTTTATTTTTTTTTTTCCCCCAGAATGTACACTTGAAATGTTTTAAGCCTCACTTCTGTAGCATTTGAATGTTTGGGACTGGCTGTGTTGCAAGTCTGTTCCATAATTCACATCAGTTAACCTTTCACAACTTCAAGAGGGTTCGTTTTTCTTTCCCCACCTTCTTGTCTTCCCGTAGCAATCCCCTCTGCCATTTGTTATGCTGTTAAAAGCTGCTGTAACTTACCAACAGCGAGTTGCTCATACTTGGCCTCTTTCATTACATGCACTACTTCTGTCTTTGTCTCCAGACGGGACATCTCCCTGAGGATCTTACAGGCTGCCAGAGCTGAAGCTACGCCCTCCTGGCCCTGTAGAATTGAAGAAGTAGTCACACACTGAAGGGCATTTATGAAATAGAAAAACTTAACTACTGAATGCATGCAACAAATAAAATTCATACGTGTCTCCTTTTGGAAGAATCTTTCTTAAAATGCACACTTGAAAGTTCAAAATGTCTATAAAAATTGTAGGCTTGATATGTGAGTTGAAAACCATGTATTGGTGTGTCTTGTGCTTCATAAGGCTGGTGACTTCAGGATATGCTTGACCTTAGAGGGGTCTGATTTGGGGTAGCAGTCAAGGACTTGGAGAAGAATGGGTTATAAAAGTAGAGCAAAATGCTCTCACACTGCTGAGTTTCCTCACACATGGCTGTACTGAGACCTTGCATAAGGATACATAGGAGCTGAGGGGGCACAGCTGGCAGAGGCATGACAGAAGCACACAGCAGAGAATCGTGCCTTCTGATAACAGAGCTCCACAAACACAAGGCTCTCTAAGGTGCAGATGTGCCTGTATGCACACACAACTCACTGGCTGAAGGGCTGTGCTGCTGTTTGTCTCCCTCCCTGTGACCCCCCCCCGTGCCAGATGCAGTTAGCTGGATGCTCAGACAGAGCCTCATAGCTGTGTCTGGTCTCTGTAGAGGGAAAGGGAGAAGAGATGGAAGCTGTAGCATTGCACGAGATGGGGCCTCAGCTGTGGAAGAGTGCAAAACAGGAGCCAATTATGCCAGTTTGAAGCTTGGCCCCTGGGACTGTGATGCTCTTGTTCCTTACACAACCAGCAAATAAGCTGGAGATGCTCAACTGTGCACCATCCTCCCTCTAAAGCAAAAGCAAACAATTGACCTATTGAAGAGGGAAAAAAATCCAAGGCTCAGTGGTGAGTCATCAGCAGCAAGGAAGACAAGGGGTCAGCTCTGCAGCTGAAGTTAATCAGCAGTGTTTCAGGCTGCACTGATTTACACCTGCTGTTGCTTGCTGCCAGGCCCTTTGGCCCCTGCTGGCATGAGACAAGCTGAGATGAAAGGCTCTATAAATGCGCACCCAGTATTATAGGAACAAACCTACCTGTCATCTAAGCTTCAAAGCTGAGCAAAGATCATCTCATGTACATGAAATATGACAATATTTCACCTGCAGGAGCTATAGCTTGATGCTTACCATAGCCCAGAAATAGTTTGCCATCTTGTGCCGGTTTTGAAGTACTGCCCATACAAACAAATCCCTCCAAGGCTTCTCGCTTTTCTGGTTCATATCCAAGGGCCCAGGTAATTGCCTTGAATTCGTTTTATCCTGAAATATGGTTTTCAGAAATTAGAACTCAGACTCATTCCATGCAAATGATGTGATGTAACTAGCCTTCGGCCCTGCCAGCCTCTTCAGTCCTTTTTTTTTCTCCCTTTTTTTTTTTTCCTTTTCCCTGTAGGTCTGAGAGGTAATTAGTTCATCCTGCACTGAATCAAAGGATTGTTGTGTCCCTCACATAACTCAATATGTGTGAGAACGCTTTGGATGAAACCACGACTCCATTGAAATCAATGGCAACGCTCTCATTGACTTTATTAAGGCCTGGATTTTGCTGCTGGTGTGTAATATCATACAACACAGACCTATGATTAACTAATCTGAGCTGGCCTACGTTTATATCAGATTCTGCTCAACTGCCACAGAGGCTGTGGTTTCAGAGAAAAGGGAACAAAAAGCATTTTATTTAAACAGGCACAAGTCTCGCCAAGGCTCCGTACAAGGCAAGAATAGAGCGTGTCAATGCCTTCTTTCTAGTCTTTCCTTTGAGTCCTTTAAAAAAACCTCTCCCTCATGCAGGGAGTATTTTAAGTAGAACACCACTTATTCCTTTAATGTTTGATAATAACCTCTCTGGAGGTGACTTATACGGCAACTTAAGTCAAGTGCTCAATTTTATGTAAATTCTAATCTTTATATCTTTTGTGTTAATTAGAAGCAGGCTGTGTGACTGTTTTTGTTCCTGCTAAAAAAAAAAAAAAGCTTCTGTAAGGATGTATGTTTTTATTCATTTATTTTTGAAATCCTTGAAAGTATGGGATTCTACTCAAATTTACATTAATGGTTTGGGTTCTTTCTTACCACCCCTTCTTCCTCCTTTTTTTTCTAGTCTGTAGTGAGCTAATTAATCTACTAAATTGCATTGAGAAATAGGACTTATAATTTAACAGCAACAGCACTGACATCCCACTACAGTGATGTTACCAGCATTACTCAGATTGGGCTATGGACCTTCCATGGTATATAATACTGTCCTTTCTGTTTTATATCAACAACAACTGTTCTTAATTTTTGTTGTGTTAAGTCACTCAATTTTAAGATTATAACAACCTAAAAGGCCACCGTCACACACAGCACATCATTTGAATATCCAGTCTGCTCCTATACAGTATAAATCTGAATAGTTAGGTTACCATTTTCAGAGTTTAGCTTACAAAAACAGTGCAGGCTCAGACCTGGGGCTGAAAATGGCCAACCCCTTTTTGTCTTCTTCCTAGAAACTCTTTTGAGTGTTTATGCTTGAAATTCTATATGAGAACTGCAGAATACTATTTAGATGTCTAATTACTTCTTAGCAAACCTAAATTTCTTGAATAAAAGAATGAGGAATACATTCTTATATATGTGATGCTAAAAAGATCAATCTGCTCCCCATGTGCAAAGTGCTGGAATGAGGAATGGTCTATGGAAAGTGAAGTATGTGAGTATGGCACAACCCTTCTTTGCAGAAGACTTGAATTGAACCTTAAATAAAACACTGCATAGCAGAATGGGAGAAAGAGGAATTGTAGCCTGTATTTCATAAATTCCATTCTTCTTAATTTTTGAAATTAAAAAGATCATTTTTAGCTGTAATAATAATGAGCTAGAACAAGAAATGAGCAACAAAGGTGACTGTTTCCATATCTACCATTTTGTTCCCTGTCCCACCCTTAAAAATAAGACCTGGTGAAAATTTTTCAAATTGTAAATTGTAAAAGAACAGATAAAATGATGGAAAGTTGCAACTCACTGATCTATTCTTGCCTCCATGTCTGACATCTTGATAGAAACCTTTACAAGCGTCGTGGAGAAAATCCTTGAGAACTCTAGAAACTTCACTGAGAGTGAAGAGTGGGGAGATCTCCTTCTGCTGTTGACCAGTGAGGCCTGCCAATGTCAACTTGCTTTCCTCATGTTTCTTCAACAGAAGTTCATAGAGGAGGCACTTCTGCGAAATGGAGCAGTAGAGTCTCTGCAGACGACTGTATGTCAGGAATTCGGATATGTTGGCCCCATTGTCAATAAATAACTTTACAAATTCTGGTTTGTCGTTGATCAGGGCATCCATCATCACTTCTTCCAGGTCGCAGGACTAGATGGATTGAAGGAAGGAAAAGAGAGGAAAAAACAATGAAGTGGTTTTGGAGGTGATAGTTGATGGATGAGGAGGGGCATAGAACTTTTTATTAGGATGTGCAAATTTTACTTTCAACCAAGTTAACAGATCTGATGAGATAGAGAGGTAGAACTATGTAGAAAGTGTCTATGTGAGCATTAATGTTAGAAGGTTAATGTTATCATCTAGAGGATACCAGAAAGATAACCTAAGTAAAGGGTTCTATGGCTGCCTAACCTCTTGGTTTCAGTTTTCAGCATTACCTGAATTCTTCACTTTCTGTCAGGATGTTTGTGTCCCACACCTGTTGGATTATAAAGCAATAGGCCTCAAAGGCAACAAAACCATGTACCTTCCACTCCACGTCGCCATTGAATATTTCACTTTTAGCTATGTCCACTCTATTCCAGGCCACTGCCAACTTGAGTTCATCCAGATATTCCTGGGCATCCTGACTGTGACTTTTACATGCTGGAAAAAATAGGGAATGCAAATAAACTCAGTACTTTACACCAGTTACATTTAATTTAATATACCACTGGTAATTTGATTAATAACATCAACTCTCATTCAGTTATCACGGGTTTGTGGGTTGCTTAATCAGGGAACGTGCACGGGTATTTTTTTCTCTTAACTTAAACAGTAATCTAAAAGCTTTAATATATAATTCTTTTTAAAAATATTTTTGGTGAGTAAGTTATCTATTGAAATGTTAAGTAAAAATATCTAGTATTTTAAGAGGGAGCCTGATGTGCAGAAAGTAGTGGGTAGGGCTATTGTTTTTTATCTTGTTTTAGTAAGCACATGGAGACTAGGATGTCATTTCTCCATGTGAAAATTAGGCTAGTCTAGCAGATTGAAATGGCTGGCAGAGCAAGTAATATATTTCAGAAGATACAGTGAAAGCTCTTTATAGAACCTAGCTGTTTCTGAAACTGAGGTGATTATGTCTGCTTGTGTTTTCTTTTTTCATGGCTTGCAAGTGGAATAGCTTCCAGCATATTTCTGTTCTTTTACAGCCTCTACTACTAAGAGAAGCAAGTGTTGAAATAGAAGACTGTTGATAACAGTACTATACAATAGCATTGTATAGTATAGATTAAAAAGCAAACACTAGTTTAATGCAAGGTTCAGGAGCTTTCCTCCTGGTGGAGGTAATTACCTGCTGGTGATTGCCAGTCACCTTCTCTGATGCAACTCTGCATCAGAAATGAAATCTTATCCAGTGGCCAGCTGAACTTGCTCAGGATAAAGCTATCATACATTTACAGCACAGAGAAGTCCAGTAATAGAAATATTGTATTTATTATTCTTACCTTTTACTAGAGCTTTTAAAATGACTGTGTCTAGTTCTGAATCATCTTGCTCAAAGTTGTGCAGAGTTAGGAGATGTTGGTGTGAAATAATGCTCCGAATCTATTGGGAGTTGGAATGAAAATCATTTAGCATGTTAGCCTACTGCTAAATGCTAGTGCCTAAGAGCTCAATGTACATCACATGTTTTTCCCAAAGAACTTACATCCAAAATGTAAAGCTGACATTTGGCAAGGAGACAAATCTTAGCTTCCCATGTAAAAAGACTGTAGGGCATGGAGGGAGTTACTGTCTTTTCCAACATTCATAGCATGCATGGTAGGATGGAGAGAATTTGGATATGCTGAGAACCAGAGCAGTGCTTGAACTGAAAGATCCTAAACTCTCATTCTTATTTGTCTCATAATAGTGCTGTGACAAGCACACCACTAATTTTGCTTTACCTCTTCCTTTGTTATTATTAACATTTCATTCTCAGTTTTTTATGTGAAAGCACAGTCTCTAAAGCTTGAGTAGAAGTCATATCTAATATTGATATAAATAGTGCTCTCCTTCTGCCTCTTTATTTGAATTTTGTTTCTCACAGTGCAGCTGCACTGGGTCTGTGTGAGCATCTGGCAATGTTGATTCTTGATGCCCTTCCATTTCCTTGTGGTATAATCTGACAAAGTTCTCCTAATAGAATTAGCATGTGGAACTTTAAGATTTACAGTGGAGACTGCAAAGAATAAGTAGTGGGTCAGGTTCTGTGGATTTTGTTTCTCTCAGGGACAGGCAGTGCTTTTTAATCTCCCCAATAAGACAATGTCCAAGTGGTGGGTTTTTTGTTTCTAAAATGTTTATGCATAATGTTTCAAGTCCAGTGTGGCTCAAAATCTATTCTGTTTTGTCTTTCCTTTTTAAGAATATGTATAACAAACAATAGACAGGATAACTTCTAAACACCCTTTGTTCTCATTAGATTATTATGCTCACAGTAAGTTCTCCACTTAACAGCTGTAGATTGTGAATTAGGTCTCTTCTGTCACAGCTGTACAGGCTCCACAGCTGTGGAGGATAAATAATGCTTCATGTTCCCCAGAAGGACTGTGGGATTCTTGGGTGCTGGTTGTTACTTGTGGAAATAATTGAGAAAGGATAGAGCCCTTGGTGTTCAGCTGAATCACTAGGACAGAGTCGTTTATATGATCAACTGAGCTCTTGATTTTAATGCTAGGTGTTCTGTCGTTAACATCAGAGCAATGGAGTAAAAATGTTCAGGCAGAACCCCCTCAAACCTGTGCTGAATGGGCTAGAAGTGGTAGGAGAGAGCTTGTGAACATTATGCACGTAATTATCAAACACTGCATGCAGTTATCAGACATATGATCTCACTGTTGCTGTCCATTGGAGAATGTCCTTCCACGGGAAGCTTTCTGCAGGGAATTTCTCTTTAAATTGCTTTTCAACAGCTTCTGGCTTGATAAGCTGCGGCTCATCCATGAATGCAGCTAAGATGTCAGCTGTTCCTCCAGACCCTGTTAAGATGAGCCAGGGAGCGGAATTTTCCAAACCGATGCAAATTCTCTATAGTTTAAAAAGAAAATTATTAGATTTCATGTATGGAAAGAAAATCTTGCTCAATGAGGAATCGCTTATTGCAAACTAGGAATAAATGTGTATCCAAATCAGGTTTACTCTGGATTCAGTTCAGACTTTTCCAGACCATCTTTTTATTTTGTAGCAGATTAATCATTATAGGCCCATGACTATACATACTGCTTTGCATGACACAGCTGCTGAGTTAAGCACCTGATTTGGACAGGCAGTGCATAAAACCTGTCAGTCTGTGGCTGCTTTCTTTTTTCTCTCCCCAGCTCTTTCCCTACTGCAATTTGTGCTTTCAGTATGGTCAAGTACAAGAGTAGCACTAGATGGGAATTCTCAACAGGTTTTTATGGTGGCTAAACTTATCTGTATGTTCTGAAAATTGGGAGTTTACTTGTGAGAATTCAATGCTGAGCCACAGGAAAAAACCACACTGAAGCACAACAGCAGCAAGAGTTAAAGGCTGCCAATTCTGTTGTGCAATTAGGAAGAGTCAAGACGGTTGTTGGAAGTCAGGAAAGCAGAGACTATGGTAGCATAGTTGCAGTAATGACTAATTGCTGCCAGTTACTTCTTACTCTGCAGTTATGCAAGATGATGAAGAAACTCTGTGTTTCAATACCACAAACAGCAAGAGAATCAAAGGCGTTGTTGGTTTATTATTCATTTGTTTTAAAACAACTATTGTAGTCTTTAGTGTGTGTTATCTACCTTTTAAAGACAAATTGGACATTCAAAAAATAAAATAAATAAAAAAGGAAGTGCAATTGGTTATTCTTTCACAGCACATATGTGAATGTACAGCAGGTCCAACCAGTCACCTTTGGTTCTCCAAGTCACTGTGTTCTCTAGAGCTTTGAAAAGGTGTATAGGTTCTGATGTGACTTTTCAACTCCCAAGATGTAGAAGTTGCTGCCATATTTAGATTTGAGAATGAAAGCTCAGGGAGTGACATTGTAATTTAAACAGTGAGATTTCTAATACCAGAGCGTGTTTTAATTTATCTGGCAGAGATGTGATGAGATGCAGTGGCTGGAAACTGAGACTAAAAAACATCACCGGAAATGAGCTGTTATTCTTAAAGAAGAAATAGTTTACCAGGTTGTCTAACAGTCTCATCGTTTATAACATTTAAGCAATGGTTAAATGTCTCTTTGGATATTCAGTAGTGTACGCATCTTCATGCGAGAGTATTACATGAGAAATACAAAGCTGTGTGGACGCTGACTGCTACAAAATAGCAGAATAACATATTTTAAAAAGAAAAACAGAAGTCAGAGTGGCTCCTAGCCAACAAGTTCTGTAAGTTACAGAAGTGCTCCAAAAAAAAAAAATCATAACTGATTTTTCACTGAAGATGACGTGAATGTCAGCAGGCAACCTTCCAGCCTTCTGTCATACAAGGTGTTTTTTGCTCAGGAGAAGTAGGACACTATAATTTGTAAGCTGTGTATCCAGCAAACCTGGCCTTGTATCTCCTTGGTGCTCTGTGACGGTGGCAATCATCTCTCTCTTGCTGAACAGGGCTGAATAATTAAGGCTTTTGTATGCCATCTCAATAATAGTACAGTGCTTCTATGCTGCTAGATTTGAAGCTAATTTCTGAGAATTTGTTATGATTTTGGGTTTCCCACTGTACTAGCTGGCAAGAAGCCCTAATGATCTGCTGGCACCTGTTCAAAATGAGGTACTTCTCCTAAGCAAATACTGTTAAATTTACTATTAACAGAGTTCTGTTCTTATGTGGCGTATTGATCTAAGTTTTGAATTTATATAAAGTGCCACTACATGTATTTATCATCCAACCAAATTTTCCAGTGCCTCTTACCTCAAGTGTGCCTGGCCTTCCATTTACCAGTAAGCAAAGCACGGGGATCTCAATGCTGCCTGTTCCTGTGAAATAGGTGATTTAATTTAAAACAAAAAAGCAAAGAGCTTTCACAAAACTATTGTGTTTCTGCTGTCCCCTTGAAAACACTTCTTCTGTTTTGTCCTGATTCAGTATATACAAAAACTTGAGCCTGCAGACTGCAGGAGATTCAAAAAAAGTGTTGGAGGGGTAATGGTGCTGCCGTAGGTTCAAGACAAGGTTTTTACAGAGAGGCAGCTGACATTACTTCTATTCAGATGCAGTTAGAATTGATGAGATGTCACTTTGTCCCAGGTGTTGAGGAATGTTGCCCCATTCCTTTCATGCATGAACCTAGCACCAGCAGGAATCATAGAATCATAGAATGGCCTGGATTGAAAAGGACCTCAATGATCATCGAGTTCCAACCCCCTGCTATGTTCAGGGTCACCAACCACCAGACCAGGCTGCCCAGAGCCACATCCAGCCTGGCCTTGAATGCCTCCAGGGATGGGGCATCCACAGCCTCCTTGGGCAACCTGTTCCAGTGCGTCACCAGCCTCTGTGTGAAAAACTTCCTCCTAATATCTAAGCTAAACCTCCCCTGTCTCAGTTTAAAATCATTCCCCCTTGCAGTGGAATTCAGGAGAAACACACAAAGAGGACTAAATACCTGGAGGGAGACTGTGTAGACTAGTTAGGGTGAGATGAGTCAGATATGAGTTGCTAAGAACCCTATGTTCTTCATTATTCTGCTTAAACAACCTAAAATATCATTCAATGCTGTCTAATGATTTGACTATCAATAACATAATATTACATTTTTAGCAGTGCTGAATTCAAAAGAAATTCCAGTGAAATATTTGAATTATTGAATATTTGATTTCTATCATGGCCACAGGGCAAGAAATGACATGGGCCTCCCTGTCCTTAGCCATCCTCTCACAGGTTTCCACTTATTAATAAATACTGAATTTAGCATTCAAAAAATGACTGTAGAATGGCCTTCAAAAGGTTCTGTCAAAACAGTGGCATTGTGAAATGAATGCCTCTTACAGCTTTTGGTTCACACTATTTTTTTTGATGTTTCCCAAACTGTATATGGATCACCAGTTACTGCTGGTTGCAACATCTGTAGTGGGGTGCTGACAAAGATAAAGCAGAACTGAGCTACAGGCTAGCTGTGCTTGCCATGTAACTTCATTTGCCTTAGTGAATGGTGTAGCATTGTCATACCTTTTTAAGGTGTTATTCTAGGTTGAATAGTGACCCCTGTGACTACAGGATTCTCAGGAAATACTTGTGGCTTCAAATCTTTTTCACTTTGAATAGACATAGATTAAATTCAGCCTTTTTGTGTGTGTGCAGTGATGGGGAAATTCTAAAGTTATAGTGGGGAAGGTGGGAAGTTCTTAGTGCAAAGAATATTAAAAATACCAAAACTTCCTACTTAACTCCTTGTAGATATTTTTAATAGAGAATTATGCATGATCTTGGAGTGTTTTAGTTTAGTAAAGTCAAAGTTTGCTGAAGTTGAGTATAAATGAACTTCAGTGAATGATACTGGTTTTGTTTATTGAAGATCTCACTGCACTTCCACTGTTCCAGGGAAATATTTGTCAAATTAATCAGCATTTTTTGACAGGAAATTGTTCCACTGAGACTTGTTCAATCAAATTTGGTCTGCAAGCAGAAAGAGGCTACTTTCTAACTATCAGTACTGAAACCTCACCCTACCATTACAGCCCATGTTGCTCTATCCCATCTGAGCGACCAGATTTGCATTCTTTGGGTGCATTCACACCCAAATTCACACACTCAAGTGCATCTGTGCAACTATAGGCTGTGTAACTGAATATTCCATTGGCACACAGAAATGTGAATAAGTGATCTCTTTCTCTTCTGTTTTAGCACTTGTAGGTATTATAGAAACAAAGAAAAGGGGAAAGTAATCGCCTTAGAATTAAACTGAAGTATTTCCACGAGTAGCAGAAGGAGGCCTGTCCCCATGCTCATTTCTCATTATAAACAAAGCTCACATAGGTTTAGGTGAGCATTAGATATATATTGTTTACCCAGGATAAGATACCTAAACTAATATGGTTTAAAATTTTTCAGGGGGCTTTGGAGCAACTCTTTTTGGCCACAGTGGGAGCAGCTCAAGATCCTGTGTGTGAGTAGGGAGAAAAGTGTACAACAGTGAACATCCATTTCTTAGAGCTGCTGGTTTAGGGCACTTAAAAGAGGATTTATTTTCCATTTGTTGTCTTTTAAGGCAATTTAGGCTATGCTTTGAAGGTCAGCTTTGAGTTATATTTAAGGAGGTGCAATAAATATCAGGATTTCTGCTTCACAGAGCAGTTGATGTTGGTTTTTTTTTTTTTTTCAACCTCAGTTAGCTTAATTCTGCCTCTTGCACAGTGACAACTTGTGTTTACTTGATCTTACCTATGCAGATGATAAACTGAGAACCTGACTTGCCTTTGGTAAAGACAGAGAACCACAGGCATCCCTTTAACATCACTACTGCTCAAGCAAGCATGCTTCTCTGGTCTACTTACCACCATACCCAGTACGCTGTTCTGAAATGTGCTTTTCCAAGGTGAGCCGTAGTTTAGTGGTCCCATCTGGTTCCTCTGGTGTTACATGATCCACCAAAATAAAATGGGAATGATTGTGGTCCAGTGAATACAGTGGGCCTTGGGCATTATCATCTGATTGGTAGTGTACAAGGCTTCCATCCTAGAGATAGAGGAGAGATGTTAATGTTCTATACAAAGCACAGCCCATGTTTCTGTGTGTTTTTTCTCCACTCTTCATATTGTCTATGCCTTGCAGTATAGCATCATCTTTCAGTCTTGAATAACCTCTATAAAAAAGATGCTGAAGAAGAAAATGTTCCTTCTGAAAGGTGCCAGATTTGACAGAACTGAAAGCTGAAGTCCCTGAAGCTTTCCTCTCAGGCTCTACAAAATACTCTGACGTTAATCATCGTCTCTGAATCACAGGTATTCATTCATGTGTTTTGGAAGTGTTAGTTAGGCAGGTGAAAGGGGCCATGAGACTTGATAATTGTGAAAGAAGTCTTACTGTCTCAGAGGGCTAAAGTCTCTGCTGGTGCAAACAGGCTAACTTGCTCATTTCAGTAGTGTTTTTGCCACGTGCATACCAGTATATAAGTTAGCTTGCTACTCAACCACATCAAATGAAATGCAGCTTAGTTTAATTGACAAGATTATATGACATCTAATGGCAATTCATAATTGCCATTCAAAAAAAATTTGGAAGCCTTATTCTAAGAAGTGAGTGACAGTTAGATTTTAGGAGGTGTAATCTATTTCTTTTATTTTGGGCAGGAGGTGTCACTTACTGAAACCTATTTATTAATGAATTTTTATATTAAATAACTGTCTGGGTAAAACAGAACCCCTGTTTCAGCCTCCTATTGTAAGGACTGCACGAATCATAGACAACCATCCATGCTTTTTCAAGCTCTCCTTCCATAAATATGCCCCTTTCTTTTCCACTGCTGCATGTTCATTTGATATATCATTTCTAGCTGCAAGCCAGGCTGTATATGCCTTGCTATTTTTCTTTTTCTTCCTTGTAACCACTATTCTGTTGCAAGTAAGCCAGATCAGTGCTGTGGTTTAGAAGCTGCCTTATCTTTCATTTCTTCCCCAGTTCCTGCAGCCTTTGAGTTGATGAGCAAAATATCAGCTTAGCTATTGTGCCTATGTACTGCATTATTCCTCCTGCTAATTTTGTGTGTACAGATGTGCCTATCGAGGTATAGCAATGTAATTATGCAAGTTACCTAGCTGTTATTAAGGTGTGGTAGAGAGATTTACATTGTTTTTAAGAGCCAGATTTTACACGGAACCCTTGTGAATCTCAGCTTTTGTTGTAATCTGTTGGAAAAAGCAGGTGCCCAGCTGAATCCTGGGGGAAATTCAAGCTAGGAACTGTTCAGGTTCTCTTCCACAGCCAAGGCTATGGCTGATGTTGGAGAAGCAGTGAACTAACTACCAGGATATTGTAGCAACTTTACTAATTCATTAAAAATGTAAAGGAATTTGGAGAACAAGCCCTTCTGTGCTGCTGATAGAAGGGCTGAGCGTCCTGCATGCCGTTCTGCCAAGTGGCTTTCTGAAACAAAGCTGTGTAAGGTCAAACTGCAGAAGTGAAATATCCTCCAAAGGTCAAAAGAGTTGTAATAAGATGTGTTCCTATGGCTTCTTTCCCTCTCAGCAGCTCTGGGAAGGGTCAGAACTTTGGAGGCTGTTCCAGAGGAAAAATCCAGTAAACTTGCATGTTCTAGTGTCACAAGTTTTTCTGGCCTCCTCCCCTCACTCCACACCTCTCATTTGTTGGGGAAAGTTGTATTAAAACAGTTCATTTGTCTTTAAATTTTGCTTTGGTGGAGGGTGTGCCTGTGTTCTGCTGCCATGTAACTTTAAGCCTGCTCACCAGAGATTCGCTCTTAGATTAGGACCATGGGATGTAACATCTAACTGAAAAAGGCTCTCAGGGATTTTCCTATTTATTCCCTGAAAATGTGGAAGTGATCATTGAAGGATATTTGAAGCATGCCAGTAAAAGAAACAAGGAAGAGATCCACTGATTTCAGGGCTTGTTTTTCTCCTTGCAAGTGCGTGTTGTTAGCTCTGTTTTATACAACAAGCTGTTTGTGCTAGTAGCCAGTAAAAGGTGAACTGGGTTTAGGTCAACATCCTTGTCTATAGCTCTTTTGTCTTAAAGAACTGACTAAAATCTAGAATGTCTTTTGGTAGATGTAGTGCCAGAAGTCAGCGGGTCAAGAATGTTCTACAAGTATTCTTTGACAAAGAACTTGGGCTCTGGTCAAGAAAGAGAAAATCTAATTCAGTAACAGTGCACTTGTTTTGTAGCTGCTGTTTGGGATAGGCTGAGATGTCTTGTGATTGCTTAATCCAGGAGGGAGGTGCAACGGTTGGTTTACTCTTGCTGAAGGAACTTTCCTGAAGAAAATTCCCTACTGTGATGAACCAAATTCTTTCCTCTGAACCACTCAGATAGGTTGATGTCTTCCAACTGGAGAGTCTCATCTGGCAGAGCACACAGCTTGGCAAAAGGTGTGGAAGGGAGGGAAGCCCAGTGACAATAAAATGGCAATACAATCTGGCAGCTTCTCCCTGCTGATAGCTGGTATTTGACTGCTGCCTATCTGATAAAGAGCTAGATACAAGTTCAAAGAGCTGTCTTTGTCATTTGCTTCTTTCCTGGGAAGTAAAATAGCGCATACAGGTTGTTTTTAATTGTCACCATGCACCTACATTACTTTTATACCAGTTTGCTTAGGACAGACAGAATATACAGTGACAAGAATGTCATTAATTGTCTTCTCCACCCCCAGGTCAATTCAGCATCAACTTGTCTTGGCGTTTGCAATAGCTGATGCATAAACTTCCGTTGTTTTGACCTGAGCTGTAGGGAGCCTAGAATTCATGCAGACTGGACCAAATCGTGCAAGGATAGCATTTGTGGCCTGAAATGTAGATAAGCTTTTGCATGTTAGACACCAATTCAGTGACTATTTAGGAGAACTTGATATTGAAATATTTATGACTTCATTTGATACTAAGATATAGGATACTTCTGAAATAGTTCGGAATTCTGCAGTAAGTAGACAGGGTAAAAAAAAAAAAAAAAAGTGTTGTTTTTCCTTGCCTTTCCTTTTACCCAGATACTGAGCTCATG